TTTTCTGACACTTGGTGAGTTCCCTGACCGGGGACACATATTCATGTATAAAAGACGTACAAAAGTGCATTTTGCATGATAGGTCCCCTTTAACGTTTGCTATTTACCTAGTTAGCTAGCTTACATTAACTACCCATATTACAAGATAGCTATCTTGCTAGCAAATGTTAGCTATGGCTAAATTGGTGGCTCTTGTCATTTAAATTGGGATTATTGTTTTACACCCTATGGTTAAACATGCACTCTGGACCTGTGTCTATCAGGCAGTAAAAATAGTTATCAAAACATGGTTGACATGATTTTTTTAATCTGACCGGCTGCTCTCCTACAGCCAGCAGCTCCTTGCAGCTCCAAATATCGCTGTAAATATTGGTAATCTAAATCGATAGTTTATCGCTTTTTATTTAATAACAGTTCATTCAAAAGCTTGAAAATAGTTTCTTTGGCAAGTAAAAGTTGAAAAAGCTGGCGATGCTATGCAATGTAATAGCAATACGCGCTTTATTGCGGAAGTAACGACAGCGCCCTAAAGCAGGCTAAACATTAGGTGAATATAAACATACCATTTGTAACTGTGAGTTTAGACCTTGCCACTGATCAACACACGGTTTCTACTTCCTTTTATGCTTTTTACAAGTTTGTTATCTGTGTTTTGGAAGGAAGCTGAAGATGACTGGTTGTGTTGGGCTTCCCACACATTTATGAGCCAATCAAGGAGCCAGCAGAGTTAGCACGGCCGCAGGCATTCATGTTTTAAATTTCAAGGTTTCAATTAGCACTTTTTAAAATGCATGCAACTACTCTGATTTAAGCGTTATCTCATCATCTATATCTCAGAATAGAAAATAAAAGCCCATTCCCGAATAGAGTTGATATAGGGCTTTAATATCTTACTCTAAATTACTCATTGTAATTTAGATCCTACATTAAATGACCCCCGACAGTTATGACAGTATTTCAGAGGCGAGTCATTTCTTCACAACAGCTCCACATTTTCGGGAATACTGTATTTTAAACTATAGGACTTCAGTTCCACTCTGCAGAATGGACCACAGCACATGCCCTACAGTAACCTTTTTCCATCTCCTTCTCAATTCTCGATACCAACACCCCAGCCTGCTACAGCAAACCCAGCCCGTTTCCCATTGGTTAGCCCCAAGGCACAGAGGAGCATATCTGTAGCCAACCTTGACGTGCTAAACTAGGACGCTGAAGGGGACAGAAATGGGAGGAGAAGCAGGGGAGCGAGAAGGAGACGAGAGAGAGGGGAAAAAAGGTAATGAAAGGATGGTGGAAGAGTGGCGGAAATACGGAAGTGAGGATGGAGAGCAGAGAAGGGGACAAAGTAAGGATAGGCGAAGAGGGAAGGTGGAGAGTAAAAAGGAGGGAGAGAATAGGGGGAGATTTGTACTCTGCGCCTGGTCTCCATCTCCTCCATTCTCTGCTTGAAAACAGGAAAAATCAATACACCCACAGTCTAGTGTATCCCCACATGAACTGGATCATTAAAAATATATAATCAAAACACCCCAGCGTCATCTTTCATCACTATATCCATCATGTGAACGGGCATGGATGCGGGTATGTCACCAACGTGCCTATAACAATGTAATAACCCAATCAATGGCCTTCTAATTATTTCAGTGCCTCGGTTAATTGTCCAGTTAAAGTGGTCTTTCAGCCTTGACTCTCAGAGAGGCGCCAGAGACAGGATGCTTGTTAACAGATGCACACAGCAGAACCGGGCTGTTGTAATAAGAATATCTGACTTCTTAGCTTCACAACTCAATCCAACTCAGGGTCGCAGTGTTGCCTAGTAACGATGGCACACTACTGACCTTATCTATGTGGTCATAAAAATGTATGAAGGAGCCCCCCCTCCTCATTCCTCGCCTTCAAACCTCCTCCCTGCCTTCCTACAACCACACCACCACCCTCTCCTCCTCTCTGAGTAGCACCTAGCCAGGGGGCGAGCACCCTCTGCGCTCCTTCCCCTGCAGGGCAGCTCTGCGGTGGGTGTTATCTGCTATCCCTGTATTTTATTAAGGCGAGGAAACATGTACACTTTTGCAAAAAACACAATGCGCTTTTGTGCACTGTACGCTCGAGGTACACGCACGCAGAACACAACAGATACAGCGCTAGTGGGCGGGCGGTGGAAGGCTGGAAGGATGCAGATTGCATGCTATGAAACTGATAGATAGCTGTAAGAACAGAGGGACACAGTGAAGCGCAAAGGAGACTCAATCGCACACCGCAAGGTGAGTCTGTGCACCAGCCTTCATGAGAATATCACTTCAGAGTGGAATCATGCTCTGCAGAAACATGGCAGACTGTGAGGAAATACAGTAAGATAACCTCTGCAGTGAGCTTCAGACATGCTGTGTTTGTGAAAGCAATTTGCCAGTGAGATATGAGATGCATATGATCTCTATCTTCTCATGAGTCCTAAGAGACAGCTTCTCTAATTGGCTATCACCTTGGAGATACCCATCCTAATGAGGAAACTAACTCCAGGTGCTGCACCTGATATAACCCCTGAGAGGCACAGGGGGAGTGTGACACATACTGTATACACACACACCTGCTCCATCTGTCTGCTTTACAATTAGCACCGTCAGGCCTTGCTACTGTTTGTCACGATGTTCACCGCAAAGTCAAAGCACAGATCTGAAAACTGCTTCTATGTAATTTATTCAACAGTGGTTACTAAACAACGAAGCAGAGACAAAGCTGTTCAGTTCTTTGCAAACAAAACATTGAAGTGTTTTTTATTTAAGCAACATTTCTACAAGTCAACATCTATAGCTATTGTTATACAAATGAGAGAAACAGTCAGACATGCAAGGGACAGAGGTGGAATGTAACCAAGTACATTTACTCAAGTACAATTATAAGGTACTTGTACTTTACTTGAGTATTTCCACTTCCTGCTACTTAATACTTTCACTTCCACATCTCAGACTAAATGATTGTACTTTATACTTCACTACATGTATGTGACAGCTTTAGTTATCACTTACTTTCTACAAATTCAGATTATTACAAAATATAACTAATAAATGTGTATGTATTATTATTAGGGCCGGGACTTTAACGCGTTAATTAAGATTAATTAATTACACAAACATTAACGCGTTAAAAAAATTAACGCATTTTAATCGCACTTATTTTTGCACCGCGGAACGTTTCTCACTGGATGAGTTTCAGGCGTACCGATTATACTGGAGCACCAACTAACGTTCATGACTTCAGACAACAACAAACCACAGTGAACAACAGTGGGAAATGTTGTTTTAAAAAACGGACTGATGGAAGCGTCGATAAGAGCACGGTTGTGTGCAAATTATGCAAAAAGGAATTCGCATATCACCGCAGCACATCAAGCCTCAAGTATCACCTCAATGCAAAACATATAGCAGCTAGCGTGGAAGCTAGCGTGGACGTTAGCCTCTTTTATCGCGTTCACACCAAAAAGAGCTGGTACTAAAATTAGTTCATGAGAACCTTTTTACCCCCACTTTCGTACGGCTCTCTTGTGAGAAAAGAGCTATATGTCTGATTGGCTGGGTGGATTGCAAACCACGCCCCGTAAAACTCCCAAAAAGTTTTGTGAAGCCGCCATTTTATTATCCTCGCATTAGCATTAGCCCAGCGCAGAAACGCAGAGACTAACTTATGGCAACACAAAATAAAACATGGGAGCGGTGGAGATGAGGAGGTGTCGGCGTTCTGGCAATTTACAGTCCCCAACTCCGGGGACTTCCGGCCGGGGACTTTGGGCGGCAGTATACGCCGTTTGCGGCCTGCCAGTAAACCCAAAGCAGAAGAAGAAGAAGTGACGTCAGCGGCTTCATTTGCCTAATCCACCCCCAGGTTCAAAGAGTTCTCATGAACTAAATTCTCATGAACCTTTGTGGGAAAAGTACTGCGGTGTGAATGCGCCTAATGGTATACTAAAATCCATGTGAAAAAAATTGCTTCTCACTGTTCTTAGGTCAAATATTTATATGTGATTAAAAATGCGATTAATTTCGATTAATTAATTACATAGCCTCTAATTAATTAGATTAATTTTTTTAATCGAGTCCCGGCCCTAATTATTATAGATGACTATTATTATAACTTTGACTCTGATAAATGTAACAACCCAGCAGTATATGAAGCAGTGGGAATGAGCTTTTCCTTTCTAGTTGTGACATTAAAGTGGGGACACCTTAATGCGTCAATGTGCCAACATATATTCATAGTTTTGTTTACTTCCGGTACTTGAGGCATATCTCAATGTAAATGCTCACAAAACCTAAAGAACACAATACAGGAAATGGAAAACCCCCCCAAAGAGTAAAAGGCCTCTTTAATAAAGTACAAAATCAAACTTTATCAACCACTGACAAAGAGATAATACCTAGGATGACCTCAGATGGACTGTCACAGGGTCAAAGACACACCACAGTTTTTTCTGTTGGGCAGACTATTTAACAACAGCTGCATTAAGCCGACAGCAGCACTAACAGAGCACTATCTGTTGACAAACTGCATCTCAATAATGAGGACGGCCACAGCCTGCCACTACTACATCTGCTCTGAGGCACCGGCGCATCAGGTGGGCCCGGTGGTATTTGAACAAACACAGACGGCATATGTTTGTGTGTGTAAGCGTGAGAGTAACTAGGGACACTGGTGAGGGCATGAGTAGTGCCTTGAGGCGAGGAGCAGAAGGGGTGGCAGGGTTAGACGCTAGCCTCTATGAATCATCTACGTGTCACTAATGCTTTTCCTATGAATGAGCAAACAGATACAGATACACTGCAGAGAGGCAACCACCATGGGGGGAGAGAAAGTGTGAGCAGCCTGTGAGACAAGCATCCTTAGTCAGTATACTGTCTGAGCAGTGAGCATACAGTTACAAGTAATTGATGTAAAAGACAACAAACTAAATCAAAAGCAGCTGTCTTTTATGTGTCTGTGTGTGGATGTGCAGTGATGTACCCACACACCTGTTGTCTGGCTCGTCCCTCTCATCTTATTCAGGCTCCTCATTTGGGCTGCGCTCCTGCAGCTTGGGAATATGTACACCTTGTTAGGAGGTTGACAGCTCTGGCAGGGGGAGAGACGGGGAAGTAGCTTGTTATGAAGAACAGGCTAACTATATGCAGGCATGGGGAGTAACGGATTACATGATACGGGATAAAATAATCAAGACACACACAAAATATTGTTTTTCCTAACAGTTACATTACTGTTACATTTATAAGCCTGACAGTATGTAAATCCAGCATTTGCTGAGTGAACACACAAATAAACTTAAACAATCTATTAAATGTGAAAATAAATCTTCATCTCAGTCTAAATCAATTAATAAAGCAAGCCACATTATGCCAGTTTTAATATTTGAAGCTAAAAGCTAATTGACCCTAGCCGCCCTGCTAATAAAGCAGCATGGTAGACTGGATATCCAAATGAGATTTGCCTTAGAAACATGTGGCCGGCCTGCTCATTATGACCTTCCCCGTCTGTAATCCTCATTTGCCGCTCATCCAGCTTTGTCATGCCTGCGCTGCAATTACACTGCATCTAATAACACAGGGGAATTCAGCAAATCTCTGATCAGCATTAGCCTATAGACTTACAGTGATTGGGGCTGTCTGTGGGGCTGATTACCACAACTATGTGGGACAGAGAGCTGCGGTCACAACAGGCAATAAAGCTTATTCAAGACTTCTTAATGCACTGTTTCTACTGTAAACATAATATTTGACTGAACTGAAAAATGAATTCCTCCATGTTATGTTATACAATTTAAAATGTTAATATGCACTATTAATTTCTTGTAGAACTTTAAAGAGACGCTATTCAGCTTTTGGGGGTTTTCCCTTTCCTGTAGTGTGTTCATAGGTTTTAGTGCATGTAAATAGTCTGCAAAGACTAAAATCCCTGTGTTCCCTTCAGAAGTAAACAAAGGAGTCCAATGGAGGCGTTTCAGGCAGAAACGCCTCTATTGGACTCCTTTGTTTACTTCCTGAACATAGTGACATCACTCTGTAAAACTCGTGCTTCCATTTGCTAGCTAACATTTTTGAACATTAAAGCATGTAAACATGTCACAGTAGAGGCACACAATTATAGGGCCCCTTTAACAACAGAACAACATCTCAACCTAATCACACCTGTAAACTATCTAATTCATATTTTTAATTATGTGCGACCACTAAAAAAACCATTATATATCTGGAGTTTATGTGTGTTTAGGTCCTCATGTGTGTCTGTTGTTAAGACAGATATGAGATAATGTGGAGCTCTTCTCTCTCATCAGCTGTAATGATCAGAGCTGTGAGGATTAAGTACCAATGTCCCAGTAAAGGAGATTTGCACTGCCAAATGTAGGACCACTGGCTCTACTAAACTGCCTAATTTACTCACACACACATAACTACATCAACACACACATACACAGAAGATGCTACAGCAGCCTCAGATTGGATTAAAGCTGGAGGAATGGTGTGGAGCGCCTTGTTGTGGCCAGCAGAGGGACTGCAGGAGCAAGCTGCATTAAGACATACAGAGAGACATTATTAAAATATAACCAATGACAAAAGTAGATTAAAGCAGTGCAGACTCGTGGAGTATTAAATTACATAAATGGCATGATTACAATGTAGTAAAAACTATAATGAGCATAGTGTTTGTTATAAAAGGATCAGATTGTATGTCTTCTTTGTAAACTGGACTGTTCTGTAGGCTAATAGTCTGAATCTATATACTATATATTTATTTGCATTGCATTTAATATTGAGGTAATCCAGGTTACATCATTTTTATATTTTGATACTCAGATTAGGTTTCTGATCACATTTTTTAAAGGTAAATAGTAATTGTTACGAATTACATTGTTAAAGTAACCCTCCCAAATCTGCCTATAACACGCATTATCAATCACTGGAATCACTTAGACAAGTGAACAATGCATTCCTGCTGCTTTTCAACTCTACGGCTGAGGAAGTATCTCAAAGTCACAGGGAGGAAGAAACAGGAATTGTGCTTAAATGGGTCATTCACAAGACTCAGTGCATGACAGGCAACACACCGGAAAGATGATCTTTTGTGGTCACAGTCTTGCCTCATAATATTCAAGTTACTGTAACTATAGTAATCAGCTTCAATGAGAGAGAGAGGCAGAGAGGGGCGAACATGTGACAGTGTAACTGTGGACTCATGAGGAATCCACAGCCAGACAGTGGGTGTCTCTGTATGAAGCAGGCAGCATGGAGAAGGCCTATGATATTGATCTTGCCTTAACACTGCAGAGTTTCTGCCAGAAAAGTTGTTAGGCTCAGTAGTCAAGTATCCTTTGACTGGACTGATGTCCCAAGGGCGGATTATGAGACAATTGTCAGTGGGCACACATGTGCAAAAGGCCCAAACTGTGCCTAAACAGGATCCAGACATGTATACTGCCCCTCAGTGGTGGGGTTAGGGTTAGGGTGCAGACCATTAACATGCACCTAAACCTATATAACGCACTACAGGAAGAGGATAACCCAAAAAGGATAAGGGCCCCTTTAATATTATTTAGATGGAGGCTCTAAATTAGCCAAGTGGGTAATTTGCCTTGCATCAGTCATTTTGTTTCCCTTTGAAGTCGTTGTATATAAATTGCACAATATATCATGCTTTTTAATCCTTTTGCACGATTAGCACATCGATACGGTGATCAGGTTTTGTTTTTTTGGTGCCTTTTGTGTTAAGTTCCCTGTTCAATTTGTTCAATACTTGTACGTTTAAAATAATGACCTTTCTTTTTTTTTGTTTAACAAGCAATATGTTTTATTTTAGCAGTATAATGAAAGCAGTGTAGTGCAGCGCTAAGTGAGTCTCTTTTCAGGATATGAGTCTCTTTATTGTTCGAATGGTCGTTATACTGTATAATCGGTACCACTAGACCAGGGGTGGGGAACCTTTTTCCTCTCAAGGGCCATTTCAATTATTTCAACATCCTCCGAGGACCGTACAAATGATTGACCTCTGCTTAAAAATACTAAAATCACAGCCCATTAATTTGGCCTTTCTTTCATGCTGTGCAAAGAAAAAGCAACCTCTTAATCCAGATATCTTACCATGACTCGTGCATGCATGCATGTGCACGGTTGAGGCATGACCACCAAAACAGAAAGATATGGACACAAGATGTGTGCAAATGTATTTAGTTTCCTATCCATGTGAACAGGATTTAAGTGGGGGGGACCTAACCTCCTCTAGGGGGGTCCGGGGGCATGCTACTCCGGGAAGATTATTTTTTAAATGTTGAAGTTAAAAGCATCAATCTGGTGCACTTTGAGAGCAACATCAGTAGATCTATGGATACATCTCTCAACACCCATATGAAACAGAACTGGAAGCAGATTTTTTTTTTCTTTATGGATATTTTACAAATCACTCCCCTTTCAAACTGTATTCTTGTTTATTAATAACAACTTTTTTTTACTGTCATATACTATTTTATCTTTTTACTTTATTCTCTTATTTTTTTATAATGATCATATAAAGATGTGCCTTTACCTCACTGGTTGGAGAAAAAGCTTCTTATATTCGTTAGCATAGCTTGCTAACCAGATGCTAATAACAACAAAGTTATTGACTGTATGATCAGTATGACATTTTATTAATCATTAAGAACCATTTATAAACCACTTCTCACATAGTTTTCATACATCAACACAGACTCACTATTTGGCAAGATGACTAAGCCTTATATTGGCTACTTAGCGAGAATCAACTCAGTGAACAACAGACTAAGGATGCTGGCTGATGAAGAAGACGAAGTAAGCTAAGTAGCCAATATAAGGCTTAGCAGTACAGATACATGGGCTCTCTATTTGGCAAGCAACCGGTCACAGGTGCCCTGTTTATCTCATGTCTTATAAAAGCTTATTAATGATTTATAAAGTGTTCACAACCTAATTAATAAATTACAAACTATTCGTAAACCCTTTATAAGGGTAGTTTTATTGTAAAGTGGTACCGTATAATCCAATAGTTTATTTAACTTTCAAGTAACATCCAGGACTAGAAATCCAAGCTGAATTTGCCTAGATCTGCTTTTCATCCAACTACTTCACTGTCAGGTCAAATGGATGCAGGAAATATAAACGATTTTGCAGCTGCAACCTCAGCTTTCTCGGTCAATATTGCTTTTAATCAAATACATTTACCATCAACACTGATTGGGTATACATATGGCCCCCATCAAAATGTACACTTTTGGCAGCTACCCAGGTTGAGATACATTTTTACAGTTTTTCGGAAACCCTGCAAGTTATGGGTGTAGAAAAGAGAATGCATTTAATTTTTCAAGTAAGGGTTTTGCATGTTTCAGGAAAAGTCCTATTTGCATTGACAGTGCAGAGAAAGAGGAAGAAGACCCCAATCTATACTAGAGCTGGATTAACTCCTCATATTGTAGTGGACATACCATGATCATTGACAGAAGCATGAAGGAAATGCATGTGATTGCTGTGTGATGCTGAGGGCCATTATTTCTGGATGACTAAAGTTATGCATGTAATGGGTGTATAATGGGGTCTTACAACACTAGCCTACTATATCAGGCCTTTTCATTATATTGTATAACTGTGCATGCCAAACTGAGCTTATGTTTTGAGTCATGGTATACAGGTAGTGTTTATATATATATCACTGAATTGTGTGGATTGGAATCGATTGTATTGCCTTACTCATAATACAAACTGTAAATATAATCATAACAGGCTTATATTAATCGGTGTGCAATATACTGAGCATTTTGAAATCTCATTAGTATTTGAGCTCTCTGTGGAAAACAAGTTCATTATTGGTCTATGCCAGTGTTTCTTAAACTTTTCATACCAAGGACCACTTAACCAATGAAAAAACACTCGCGGACCACCTAACTCCACAAATATCCAAAAACACATCGTTTTTTTAGAACAGATTACAAATCGCCTGAAGATGGTACAGACAAGTGGCAACATGTGTGAAGAAGGTGTTGCGCTGGGCTATATCATGCAATTGAAACTTAA